AGCAGAAATATCACTTTATTGCTGTAGTAGAACTTAGCAGTTCACAATGGAATCATATAACTCACAAGGACAGGATGATAAAGGTAGTGGACTAAGACGACAGGCGGAAATTAAGAGGAAATTAGAATACAAAAAAATAGGAACGGGGAGGAAAAAAATAGAAGAGGGGAATGAGGGGGTAAAAAATACGAATGAGTAGAGTAGGTAGGCAGAGAAGCGGAGATAAGAAAGCAGAGGAGAAGCCAGAGACAATGAGAAAGTCAGATGAGAAGAAACACAGATGTGGAAGAAAGCAGGATGATGGTGATGATGATCATAGGTGGGGAGATATATATGGCAGAATAAAAATAAAAGCAGGTAAGGAAACAGACAGAGGTGGAGGAACACAAAGGGAGAAGTATAAGGTTAAAAGTTCGGATGGAAAGAAACAGAGAGAGAATGGTAGAAAAGAGGAAGACCAGAAGGGAAAAAAGATCGAAATAAAGGGAAGCAAAGGGGAGAAAGACTAATCGGTTAACCAGCAAAGGGAAAAATTAGAAAAAGAACCAGGAAGGGAGGGAATGATAAATAAGAAAAAACACAAGGTAAAAAGACGGAGGCGGTATAAATGTAAGGTGAAACATAGTAATTTTTATCGCAATTTTGAAAAAAGTGACAAAATTGTTATAAAAATTTTCCAAGAAAATTAGCTACTTGTAGAAATAGAATAAGAAAATATCTTACAGATGCTCAGTCTTTGAAATCTGAATCCGACTCCAAAATGTGTCAATGAAGGTCCAACTTTCCAGGAAATGAGGCATTAACAAAGTGTAATATCAGTAAATTAAAATCCAGAGTTTTCTTCAAGGTTCTGATAAAATTCTCTTCCAAGTTCAAGTAAGACATGTTAACAGTGGTAATTAATTTTTTTATGTATCTTATAGTGGCACAGAATCGACGAGCCGCACTACAGGTTTTATGAAGTGTTGACAGCAAAAAACTGAAAAATATCTCTGAATCTAGGACACTAATACAATTTGTATTTGATTTAGATTGCCACTATAAACTAATCAAGCATCAGTTATGCAGCCACTGTTGCATTAAACTTCTGCATATATCCACGTAATGTATGTAACAGTAATTGGTTAAAATAACACCGATCGATTGATTTTCCATAATAAACAAACACAACGTTAAAAACAAAACATGATAATAATTTAACACTCAACTCCGGATCGAGAATAATAGGGCTTAAAACTGAATCGAATTTGAATTAAATATTTTTTATTGAAAACGTGTAAAATTAAAACGACATATTTAATCAGTGAAGCAACATACTGCACAATCCGTCATAAATTAAACATAAACAAACGGTGTTTCATAATTTAATGAATTCGCATTTTCCTGAACCATCAAAACCTATTTGTATATTGTAAATGGAAAATTTGTTATTTAACTACTAAATTAAAACGTGCATTTAAAAGCAATCCTTATAATGTTCTTTACATGTTTCTCATTGTTTTAGTTATCGTACTTATGTCCCATTCCCTCTTTTATGTGTTTCAGACGATAAACAAAATTTGTCCTCACCGTCGTCTAGGTGTTAAAAATTGTGTTCATATTTCTTGCTTCCCACTAACAAATTCTGTTATAAAGAGGCCACATTTTCTTACTTTTTTGTTGTTTGTTTCAGTGTTTTTACCTCTTACTTTTAGAGTTTTGAGCTATTATTCTACGGCGTTGTAATTCGCTTGCCCGGCGCCTCCACCATTTTTCGTGCCGCGAAAATACGTCAGTTAAAATAAAGCAGATAAAGCACGCATGACGTAACAAATATTTTTAAGCTAATTTGGAGTGCGAGAATAATTAATGAAGTTTTTCCTTCGTGCTTAGGCCGTAATTTAATTAGTAAGATCGTGAAGTTTTAATTAATTGCTGTTTAAATGTGTTAATGCCAGAAACGACTATAATAACAATAACACAGTCGGTACGTGTACGTAGAATTTGGTCACGCATCACGTTCGCTGCACTTTGTGCGAATACCAGTCCATACGGAATTTCGTAAATAAAAATAGCACAATCAAGATTAGCACTTAAGCTCAGCAATAGCGGCCACACAATAATATTAACACATCACGCTAACTCGGAATAAATGATAACGAATGCGGCAAGCGGGCATTCGGCTGTGATAGTAAATATGTTGAAGGGTGGCTCATTGAATTATCTTAATTTTATCATAACTCCCCGTTCGTTCTAGGACGATGGAGTGCGCTCGCTTTTAGGTGGAAATTTTAATTGGCGGATTTTAATACGCGGAATGCCTTGAAAAGCCTTTTCCGATCACGCTCAGTTTAACTAATTCCGATTTCGCTTACCGGTGCTTTTTGTTACGTGAACAAACAAGCAATGTTTGCTACATGATTTCGGTAAAAATTTCAGCGCGAAACCAACAGGAAATTTCGAGGGATTTGCTTGCTGTTAATGACCAATTATAAATAAACATCTGAATTTACACACTGCTGGAAAGAATTAAAATCAAAAGATTCATCGGCTCGGAGATACGGAACTTCGGTCAAATTAATTGACAGTAACATCCAAACAGTATCTACCCCAGGCTGTTCGTGTTAATTTCGGTTACAGATCAAATAAAAGATGTGAAATTCGCTGAATTAATTTTGTACAACTCAGTCAAACGCGAAATCTAATTTTCTAAATAAAGATGCGAGGCTTTACAAAGAATTATTGCGCTGGAGCATAAAATTCGTGACCTGGGGGCAGAGTGAGGTAAAATGCTAAATCTTATCAATTCAAAGGACTATCAAAGCGAGCTGAAAATTAAACTATTGTTTAAATATTTAAACATGAATACATTTGCCAACGGTGTGGGCTTTCTAAAATTTGACGTAAAATTACGAATTTTCTGAGCTGGAACTCATGCAAATCTCTAGTTTATTTCATTGAGATATTGAAAAATTGAGGTTTTTTATGAAATTCTTTAAAAATCCTTGTCCAAAAATTAGGAAAAAAATCGTGTTTATGCAGGAATAAGAAAAATAATACCAAGTTGATATGACGCACAGTTTTAGAAATGTTCGATTTCAAAATTAAATTTCTAAAAAAATCTCTGAGAACCCCAAGAAGTTGGTTGTAATTTTCAAAGGATTAGAGCCGGATCAGATTTTAGGAAATCGAAAACAACAAAAACATCTCTTTTACAACATTACGACTGTGTCAAGAAAAGGTCAAAAAATTAAAAAAGGAGGGTATTGAAAAATTGAAATTTTGACGAACTACCATAGAAAATTTTGAAGTCATCGTGGCATTTTTCTTAAGAACATGTTTAACGCAATTCTAGAAAAACTGGGTGGCAAAAATTAAGAAAAAAGTTCTATTTATTTTATTTACGCAAGAGTAACGCATTTATGATAGAAAATAATGTCAAGTCAATATGACGCCTGGTTCTGGAAATGTTTCAAACAAAATTTTTAAAGATTTTCTGAAAACCCCGTAATTAATTTTAGTGATTCCGGGAAAATGGTTGGATTTTAGAAGAACTGGAGCCAGATCAGACTTGGGGAGGCCGAAATCAACAAAACATGTTTTTTATTCGTTTCGAGGGTGGTCAAGAAAGCATCAAAATCTTATAAAGAGAGATTTCTTTAAAAACCTTGAGAAAATTCTAGAAGATATATTTCAACGATTTCAATCCAAAAATATGACATGTTGATGCTGTCGGACCAAGACTGATGATTATCATCGAAAATTTTGGACTAAAGGTAGTAGTTTCCTTAAAGACGTGTCTAACTAGATTCTGGAAAAATTTTATGGTAAAAAAAATTCTATTTACGTAAAAATAGCGCATCTAAGTATAAGGGAAAATATAAGTCAATAAGAGGCCTGGTTTAGGAAATGTTCGATTTCAAAGTCAAATCTTTAAAGAATGTCTGAAAATCCTGTAATTTATTTTAGCAATTCTATGCAATTGGTTGGAATTTTTAAGAAACTTACTGGGAGAAGAAAACAGGATGACAAGTATAGACGGGGAGAAATATAGACAGATGAACAGTCAAAAATGGTGACCAACAGTAGAGAAAGTGCGGGGGAAAAAGGAAAAACAGGGAGGAAGAACTCTGCAAGAAATACAAATGATGAGAAGGCTAGGGGGGATGGGATACAACAGAGGTAAAACAGAGCAGGAAAGGACAGATGGAGAGAAATTCAGATCGGAAGAAAAGTAAAGGAGAGAAAGATTGAAAAATAAGCCAAGGAGAGAAAGAAAAAAGGACAGAAGAGCAAAGCAAGCAAGGAATTTAGATGTGGAAGAAACTCAAACGAGATCAAAGGTAGAGAAAGAAGCAATCAGAGATGGAGAATGTGGTGGAAAATACGAGAGGGAAACGACGGAGAGGAGAAAAGACGAAGAGAGAAAAAGAGATAAAGGAAAATAGAAGGGGAGAAAAACATGAGAGAAAGGAAGGTAGTGAGAAAGAGAAGGAGAAAGATAGAAGGAGTGAAAATTAGAGGAGGAGCAAAATGACAAATTTAGACGGGGAGAAAGACAGAAAGAAGAACAGTCAGCAATGGAGACAGAAGAAAAAGGAAAAAGTTTGAGGGAGAGAAATTAAAGAAGGATAGAGAGACGGTGCAAAAATTAGAAAAAAACATCAGAAGATGTGGATACAAGGCACAGGATAGAAAAAACATTATAGGAGAGAGAGCAGATAAACACAGACGATGAAAGAGACAAAGGGGTGAAAGATCGATGGGGAAAAAGAGAGGATGGGGGACAATAAAAGAGAAGATACATGGGGAGGAGAAAAATGAAAAACGAAAAAGGCAGAGGGTAGACACAGATAGAATAGAGGCAGAATATGAAAAGATGAGGAGAAAAGCAAAGAATGCCAGATGAAAAGAAAGACACAGGAGAAAAATACAGAAGAAGAGAGATATAACTTTATATACAGTAAAATTTGGCTCTTCTAATGTTAATCATAATCGTTTTAAACATCTCAAAAAGACAAATGGCAGAAAGGCTGATAAAGACAAAGAAAACGACAGAAGGAGTAAGACACAAGAAAGGAAAAGCAGAAGAGATTAAAGGCAGATGTAAAGAAAAATATATGGAAGGAAAAGCAAAGAGAAGAAAAATAGATGGGAAGTTAATCATTGGAAAGAAGCAAAAGAGTGCAGAAGATCAGAACGAAAATGTTAGACTGTGGCAGAGATTGACGATAATAAGTGTGGAGAAGGAGAAAGACAAGAGAATAGAAGGAAAATACAAGAGGAGACATTCAGAAAAGAGCAAGATGAATGGTGGAAAAGACAGAATGGGAGAAAAACAAAAGATGAAAGAGGTATAAGAGAAGGAACACAGATGAGGAGGAAAAACAAAAGTGAGAAAATCAGACCCAAGTGAAGCTAAGGACAGAAAACCGAAGGGGAGCAAGACAGATGGCCAACAGGGGAGAAAGACCGAAGGGAAGAAATATCACTTTATTACAGTAAATAGCAAAATTTGATATTTCTGGTAGTAATCACAATGGTATCATATAACTAAAACAAGCAAAAGAATAGAGGGAGAGAGATTCATAAAGGGAGAAAACAAGGCGATATCGAAATAAAGAGATAGACAGAGAAGAAAAGATAGAGGAGTTAGAAAAGAAAAACGAAAAAAAAACAGATGAGGGTAATGGCACAAAAGAAGAAATAGTGATGAGGAGAAAGACAAGTGGAAAGGAAGATAGAAGAAAAAGAACAAAAATAACGGGAAGCAAGATGAGTAGACAATCAAAGGAGAAAAAACAGAAATGAAAAAATTACGATGGGTGGAAATATAGATGAGAACAAATACAGAGGAGAAACCAATCAGCAGTCGAGAAAGGCAAAGGAAAAAGAAGCGAGGAGTAGGAGGAAGGAAAAAGGTGGAGGGCATACAGAATGAAAAAGACAGAAAGGAGAAAGATGAAGGGCGAAAAATGCAGAGGAGTAAGTACCGAAGAGCAGAAATACAGAAGATGAAAACGACAGAAGAGAAGAAAGATAGATGGGCAGAAAATTAAAAGAGGGAAAGCAAGCCAAACGGGAGACAGCACAAGGTGAGCAAGAAAGTAAATGATAAATGTAAAGAACGATACCAGAAAAAAAAAACAAAAGAGCAGAAATATCACTTTGTTTTGTAGTAGAAGTAGCAGTAGTAGACAATTTTTTACCTAAGAATAGCGCATCTAAGTATAACGGAACATATAAGTCAATATGAGGCCTGGTTTAGGAAATATTCGATTTCAAAGTCAAATCTTTAAAGAATGTCTGAAAACCCTACATTTTATTTTAGCAATTCTATGAAATTGGTTGGAATTTTTAAGAAATTAGAACAGAATCAGACATCTGGACATAGCAATCAACAAAAAACTCCTGTTTCGTGCGTTTAAAAGGTGGAACAACCCACAAAATTCTGAAAGATAGATTTCGATAAGCTGAATCCAAAAATATGAAACGTTGATTCTTCTGGACCACAACTGACGACTACCATCGACAATTTGGAGTAGTGGACTCTGTGGTCAAAATATATGAAAAAAATCATGTTTGCCCAGAAATAAAGCATCTACCAGGGAAAATAGTGCCAGGTCGATATAAAGCCGTGTTTTGGAAATGTTCGAGTTCAAATGCAAATTTTTAAAAATCTCTGAAAACCCCATTGTTCATTTTAACGGTACCGGAAAAACGGTTGTAATTTCTGAACTATAGCCAGATCAGACTCCACGGGATCGAAATCAACAACGTTACTTTCTTTTCACTTTTTGCTTTATTTGTAGTCTCTGGAATCCCCTCATTTAAATGTTTTTCGTTTCATTTTGTGTATTGGTTGCTTCAGCTCTTTTTTCGTTTTTTTTTCTAGCGTTTTTGCTGTTCCTGCTACTTTGTTCATTTTCTTGTTTTATTTTATTTCTAGCTTTTGAGCGTAATATGCTAAAAAAGTATTGTAATAAGGTTCATTCGTCGAATGCCTGTTTTCATATTTTCTCGACGTTTCATGATCCATAGGAAATAAAAAATTGGGTCTTCCGTTTCCGTCTGTACAAAATTACTGGTCTTTCTATTATCGAAGTTTATAGGCATACATTAGGAATATCTGGTATATAACAGATCACTAAAATTGATTTGATCATCTCCTCTAATAATTTGATGACGTCATTTCATAATTTTGCGTGGTAAACTTTATTCAAATTTTATAACATGGCACACTCCTATACCTGTGGTTTATGAATTTTCCTTGATTTTTCCAAAAAACTCAAAATTGTGTAATGTTTTATAACATTTCAATGAAACTGCTTCTCTGTATTTTTATTTCCGCTATTTAACATTGTTCTAGCAACTCTTTGAAGTATTCTTTCCATCCACTCTCAATGTTTTTTTCTTCCGTAAGCATACGTTCACTTGTATTTTATTTATTTTTAGTTTTTTCACACTTTTTAATTTATCGTAGAACATTTTCTACTTTTTAATACATAATTATTTAATTTAATCAATTTATTACTAAAGTCTAAATTAGACGTTTTATTTTTAATAATTTTAATAAACTTGTCTGCAGTATTTTTTTAATTTATGTATGTCATAATCTTTTTAACGCTGTTAGTCAAGTATTTTATCCAGTGTTTCTTCTCTGCTTTTATCGCTTTTTTTATTTACTCTCTTCACCACGTTGATCTTTCTTTCCATTAATTATTAATTTTTGTACCACCACAACTTTCTTTTGCTGCTCACTTAATATCTTTTCCACCTTTATTCTATTTTTTGGTCATTCCTTTCCGTAGCTTGTAGATTCTTGCTTTTCCTCCTGTTATTCGTCTTCTTCTTTCTTTATCTACTTTTATTTCATTTTCCTTAAGTTGTGATCTATTCTTGTCTTTGATTGCCTCTTCTTCTTAATATTTTTCATCAGTTTCCTGATTCCTTCATCGATGAAAAAATACTCTATATATAACTGGTTTGTTTCCATCAATTCGATCATTCCTTGTTTATTTGTGTACGTTTTTCTGTACAAATGTGATATTCCCTGCTATAAAATCATTTTCAGTGCATAGATTTATAATTTTTGTTCCTTTATCATTTCTTGTGTTCTGGTCTTCTTTTTTAGTCATTTCTCTACATCTGAATTATTCTTTCCTACTCTGCCATTTTTAAAATCTCTTTACTATTACTCTATTTTTTCCTGTCATATCTTCACTCCTTAAAGTTTCTCAAGATCTGCATTTTTCTTTCCAAGAGGAGGCTATGCAAGTATTATAATAGGATTCATCTGGCAAACGGCTATTTCCATGTTGTCGAGATGTTCTTGACCTCTCTCTGTCGTCCGTTGTCTGTCTGGTTTTTTTTATATGACAGATAGTCTCGATTGTTGTTAAATTTTATCTGTACGTTAGGAATATTGTGAAAAATACTACCTAAATTTTATAAAATAATATACTCCTGTAGTTGGGGTTGATAATAATATTAAATTCAAAAAGCTGTTTTGTTAGGAACATGTCATATTGTTCGTAAGTTTCTTGAACAGTCTGATCATGTCAGTCAGATTAGATTAGCACCAGTAGGTCAGAGTAGTGTAGGTCACTTTTCATGTGATGCGCGGATAAATGGTCGGTAGTTAGGCTAGACTTTTGGGGATGGGGTGAGATTAGAGAATAATAGCAGACTAATTTGTATGCTGTAATTCTAGAATCTCGAAAGTTGTTCTGTTAATCTAATCAATGCATATCATTACTTGGTCTTAGTACCCGTAATGATAGAAGTCTTGCCTGAATGCCGGTCATTTCCGGGTCAGTGGTGGGTCTTATTAATAATAATAGTAATAATAATAATAACCTTTATTTTCTTTTGGGACAAAAAAAATTGTATAAGGACGACAAAAAAAATTGTATAAGGACGTCAAAAAAAATATGTAAAATGAGACATAACACTAAAGACGACATCATCAAATACAAAAAATACACTAAAAAAAATAGGACAAAGAGGACACAAAAGAAAAAAAATCACGCAGCGAAACAACTAAAAATAGCCAGTAACATATGGATTTCGAATAAGACTACTAATGCACAATTCTAAAATACTCGTCAACAGTGTAAAAGAATGAATCCGCCTTGATTTTTCCCCAGGCATTAAGATTTTAACAAACAAATCCAAATTTTATATAATTTTGCCAACCCCTAGGTGGCAGTTTTTCTTATTGGTAAAATGTCCCAAAATAAAATTCTATAATTTTTGGAAGCTGAATTTTTTGGGCTATATTTCAGGAACGGATTAAGTTCTGCCTAAATCACCCTAGACCTATAATTTTATCTTTTGTTGTATTAGCTGTCAGTTATATTTTTCTTCTTGTTTTATTTTTATTTCTGCTACGGTTTATTCACTAATAAATGAAACGTAATAAACTGAAATGGCTTTTTCAAAATATTAGTTTTTATTAACAAAAATCTAAGCAAACTTAAATGATTTTGTAATTACCAAATACGAAAAACTATGACCGAAAAACGCTTGAAATCTATTTAACTCGTTTTAGATTCATATATCTCCTACATATTTTATTGCAAAGTCGCTACATTCACACGTTTATATCGATCATAAAATTTTCCCCTTAAAAATTTAGAAGAAATTATAACCAACCCCTTTTATTTTTTAAAAGACATCGTGCCAAAGTTCGCTTTCGGCGAAAAATATTTAAACGCAAGTTATTTTTTAATGACCCCTGTTCACTTCTATCTGTCGTATTTAAAGCGCCAAATTTAGCCCCATTTAACTATTCTCCAGCCGCTTTGACCCAAATTCGCCCGAAATTAAAAGTTTTTAGCTACCATTAACATTATTAACACCTTGCGAAATCTCACAGAAGTAGGCAAGCGTAAAATATTTTCATACACCTATATTTAATATTTCTTTTATATTTGTAACAGCCAGTCCATAAACACGCAACTCTTTCCCAAATAAAACCGACGTTTTATTTTACGACATCCCAATGGGAATACAAGAGTAATGGCTTCCTTGCATATACAACTTTGGCCGGAAATAAAAAACAACGTGTCTCTTCGCTAAAATTAAATTTTGCCGGATTATACGCAATTAGGCTGCATAAATAAATTCCATTCGGCATAAAAGAAATGTGGCGAGGAGCCGGCTGGGAGGCATCTTTCTCTTTCGCTCCGAAAACAAAACAAAAAACCTATAATACCATCCGAAATCAAACGCAAAACATACATAATTCATACAGGAAGGAAGTGTATAATCTGAGATTCGTTCACGAAATGTAAGACAATGGTGTAATATTAGAAATGTATAGCGTAAGGCATCCAGATATTGACATTTGAAATGGTATGATGTTTTTATATGGCTTCGCACGAGGACGAAATGTTTTCATTATGTGTGGCGTGTTTCCATCGTTGGGTTATTCATTCGATTTTATAATTTGTCGATCGTCTTTCGCACTTGAACCAAATTTGTTTCCATTTATCGTCGCACAGAAATCATTTACACGATAATTTGCTTTCGAACGAAACATTTTTTGTAGTTTATTGGAACGGTTTATCATTGCCATGTATCAAGATTAATACTGTCATGAGATGCTTTATTAGCGTGCTTGGTAATAAAACGCTGGCTGCAATAAATAAGCGATTATTACTTTTGTTCTGATAAGTGTTTTATTCCCGTTGGACAGGAATTAGGAATATCGATATGTAGCCTTAAATAAATGATTAAATGTACTTAAAACTGGCTCGTTTGGTTGCTATTTTAATTCGAAGTGTATATGAGCTGAATCCATCTTGTTTTGCGCTACTCAGCAGGATATTCTTCAAACTTCTAACAATCGCTGCTGAACTATCAACTATATAAATTTATCACCGTTCGATATGTAACTACCGTAATATTTAATTAGCGTGAAGTAATTACCTAAAATTTGTTCAGCAAACTTTGCTGTTTGAAAGTCTAATTAGGCGTTCTGCTGTTCTAAGTACATTTCAGAGAAGGAAGTTTCAGTTGCATAAGTGCATACTCCAACGAAATTTTTACTCCT